TCTCCCAAACAGGACTCATTGCCCCCCAACCTGAAAGGAGCCCTGCTTGTGGGGAACATACCCACAGAACAGTGGGGAGGAGAGGAGGAGCCCTTTTGTGGCAAAAGCAAAATGTTCCTCCCCAAAGGCACAAAGGACTGTTTTATATGATATATGGCAAATGCACGCCCACTTTGGCACAGATAACTGAAAAACTTGACTGCAAGTTAATCAGGTATTAATATTTCCTACTTCGGAATGCAAATGGGGCACCACAGGAAGAATTCACACATGGAAAATATCTTAATTATGGACCAGCATGCCTTCTTGAATGTCTGAAGACAACGGGACAGCTTTTATCAGTGAAAGTACCAGAGAGTTCCACTGCTTCTTTAATGTTTCCTCAGACTCCTCAGACTAAATAATACCTAGAACTCATGTCCTCCCACAAGTCCCTGCAAACTTACCTGCTAACATTTTCTTGAGCTATTGATTATTAAGGAACTTAATATATACTCCTGCACTGCACACAAAATCCCAGTGTGTACTGGGTAAAATCACACTGTTATCTCACCACCGCCCAAGGCCACCCCTGAATTTTTATAAACAGATGACTAGAATAAACCTGAGAGATGACCTTGAAGGAAGGGTATTGTGTCGCCTGAGGGGTGGTCCCATTTTCTTTGCTTTGAGGATGGTTAAGTTTGTAGTGTGGCTCGGGGGAGAGTTGCTGGTGATATCTGCTAAACTTCATAGCTGCCCCATCCCCCTGCCTCCCTGGGTGCTCTGGGGGATTTTATTTTCCCTTAGAACTCGGAGCCACTTCTGTTGTGTCACTTTTGGAAAAGGTAGTAGCTGCCCAGACTACCTTCTATTCTGTTTTTCCCCTTTTAAAAACAGCACAATTGAGATATAATTCACATACCATACAATTCATCCATTTAAAGTATACAATTCAATGTTTTTAGTGTATTCACAAGGTTGTATAATCATCACCGCATACTAATTTTAGAACATTTTTATCCCTCCTAAAAAAACAAAAACCTAAACCCATTAGTAGTCAATTACCATTCCTCCTACCCCACCCCCAGGCCTAAGCAACCACTAGCCTACTTTCTGTCTCTGTGGATCTGCCCATTCTGGACATTACGTGAAAATGGAATCATACAATCAAATGGTGATTGACTTTCACTTAGGATGTTCTCAAGGTTCAGCCATGTTGTAGCCTGTATCAGTATTTCACTTCTTTTATTGCCAAATAATAGTCCATTGTAAGGGTAGACCACATTTTGGTTGTTCATTCATCAGTTGATGAACATGTGGGCTGTTTTCATTTTTTTAGCTACTATGAATATTGCTGCTATAAACATTTCTGTAGTGTTTTTCCGTTTTGAGATGTGAATTCAACCTGGCAAAATGAACAGCCCCTGCTATGGCTAAGATATAATGAGATCTTGGTGTTCATGTTCCTTGAGATAGCGAGAGGGTCTGAAAACCTCTTTCTCCAGGATGGCCTAATGAGAAAGTTGACACCAAGATATAAATTTTAAATTTATAATTTACTTAAATGTAACCATATATGTATAAGAGCACATTACAGTTGTGGAAGAGGAAGAAAAGAATGTTAGGAAAGCTTTTTCATGACTGTTCCACCCGCTTGCTTGGTCCTCACACAGGTACTTGTGCACGTGCAGGCACAACGCACCCTCTCTGTGCCTGCCGCCTTTGGGGCCAGCTGTCCTTGCTTTCTGCTTCAGAACCAAAGTTGATGGGCAAGACCAACGACCAAAAAGAGGAAGCCAAGCCCAGAGCCAGGGCCAGGGCCAGGACACAGCCACTGCTGCTGGGTTGGAAATACTGGAAGCCATCCTTGGGCCATTTGGAAATGTTAATTAGGCTGGCTAATTCCCATTGCCCTTGGGTTGCCAGTGTTGAGTTGAGTGTGTAGGCTTACCCTATCCATGGCTGCATCTGTTCCCTTCTTCAGAGCCATTCCAAGGGGGCTGAATAGCCCCAACAGCTCTCTGATCTCCTGCTCTGCCTGGCTGCCTGCTGGGAGGATATTTAGCACTGCCTAAAGCCGGACTCCTGGTCCACTGTTTTTCTCCCTCATTCATGCCAGCTCTCAAAAATCATTCCCTTCCCTAATTATCTTGAACCAGTTAATCATTTTCCACACTGACTGTTCAGTAACAAGAACCCATGGAGAGGCAGCCACTTTTCTTGTCTGACCCTGCCCAGAGTTATCCCAGGTGGCAGTACTGGATGGCAGCCTTTCCTCGGAGATAAGAAGCTCAGTTCAAATCCTTGCTCTTTTACTATCCCAGTGAGGACAGCCAGAGAAAACGTGCCACAGAAAGGCCCAGCAGTTCTTGAAAAGCCTTCACTAGGCAGAGTTGTATGGAACACAGCAAGTCTCCAACCAAGACTATTGTTTCCTCTGTTTGTTTAAATCCTTGTTGATATCCAGAGTATCAGAGAAGTCGCACAGGCCCAAAGAAGTAAGACATCTTTCTCTAAAAGTGGCCTCTGGATTCCCTAGGCTCCCGCTCTGTGTCCAAGCCCCCGACTGGCCCGCTGGCATCTGAGCTATATTTGCAGCGCTCTCCCCAGCGGGGTCTCACGCATCTGCTCTTAGATGTGAGCAGGGCCAACCCCCGATTCTCAGCACCTCTACCTGTAAGAAAATCTTTGAATTTAAGACACATATCAACTCTATAATCCAGTGTCTCTCAATGTTTTTTTTTTTTATTATTGCTCCACCATGGAAGCTTCTGAGACATTTTTATTTCCTAATTTGCCCCCTTCCTCAAAACACCACAGAAATACTGTTTGTTTATTTATTTACCATACTTATTTCTGGGTTTTATGCACATAAAGAGCAAGATACTTTTGCCCAACAGGGATGACGTTGCCCATTAGAATGCATGCGGTGGTTCCTCCGCCACGGCCCCCAGAGGCAGGGGCTTCTCCTGCTTTCTTCTCTGCTATAAGCCAGAGCCGAGAACCGCACCTGGCACATATCAGATGTCCGGTGATGAAAGGAGGAAATAATTATGCTTTGTGTCTCTTATCCACACCCCCAAGCGTCACACTCCTTCTATTCTCTTTCCGTCCTTCATATCCAAGCACAGTGCTCTCTTCTGGTGCCTTCCAAGCCTGCTCAGGTCAGTGGTACCTCACACTTACCCCCAGGGATGTATCAGGAAGCTGACAGCCGACTCCTCTGTTCCAAGTACAGGCCCTCGCCCTATAGTAGCACTGCCTGTGTGTCAAGGGCAAGTGACATTTGAGCCCCATGGAATAATTAAGGCAGCCCCCAACTGTCTCTGCCTTTGCATCTCCTTAACTTACCATGGATTGGCAGTTATTGAGACATTCTGTTTGGTCCAGCACACCACACCATGCTGCATCTGGGGACGCACTGGGGAGCGGCACACACCAGTCCTCATCAGCAATTACAAACAAGCCTCCATTGTTAGCTGCGCCATCTGTTTTCTTGGTTTCTACCAATCGGGTGCTTGTATGTCCAGCATAACCAGGGCTGAGGGGGCTGTAGGGGAAAGTGACCAAGAAGCCCCTTCATGAAGACCCCCTTTGCTCACACTGGAGAGGGTCCATGCGTGGTGCCTTGACAAGGTGAACTGCTTCAACTTAAGGAAGATCCGTGAAGAGAGGTTCTATGTTTGCATCTTCCATAAGAGGAAACGGGCCCCACAGCACAGCACATTAAGGGGACACAGGAGATCCAGAAGCTCACATTATCTAGAGGACCCATGGAAGACATTCTAATCTGTTACCTGTAATCAACACCGCCCAGGAACTTCTTGTGCCCCTAGAGCGCAATCAGCGTGGTGAGACAGAGCAGTTAACTGGTTGGAAAACAAGTAAAACAGAGAATGCTACTGGGTCATCCATGACCAGTTATTTATCCTGAAATCCCCAACCCCAAATGATTTTTTTGGTGGGGGCAATGAAGTTTTATCAGTAGATTAGAAAATACAGCTTCATAAATGTCCACATTTCTTCAGAGAACCCCACCAAAAAGTATATCAGTGGTCCTTCTGATGGCATTCTGAACCACCGTCTTAGAGACTGGCCCTGGTCACTGTGCCACACTTGGCAGACGGGGTCAGAAGACACAGTTTACAACTGTGGCAATGCAGACAACAGTATGTATCACTGATTCATGTCCTTTGTCCAAATTTGATAGTGGTCCAGTGACCCTGATTTCAGGAGCATTACGAGAGTTTGGGGTGAGGAGCGATTGCTGGATGCAGAAAGAGGCTGCATTTGCTACAGATAATCCACATAGCAGATAGGATGAGGTGACTGAGAAAACCTGTCATGAAGTACAGAAAAGCTCAGGTCCTCTCTTGGGTTCAGTGTGACTGCTGAGATCCTACTGCTCTGTGAGTGAGGGTGAGCATGTGGTCTGATTTCAGCCCTGCAGTCTCCTTCCGAAGCCACCCTCTGCACAGCATGCCATGTGCTTCCTCCCTGGGGACTTGTCACATCACAGGTAACACTAGTACTGAATTAACACAACTGTGAACAACTGAAACATGTAAAATGAAACTTACAGACATGTAAACTTGCACACTTAGAGGGTATCAATTATTTTTTTCATGTCATCCATTGAATTCCAAATACTTATCTTGAAAACTCTTATCTTTGACTATATTTTAGAGCAAATCAGCCAGGAAATATTGGGCACCAAGAAAAAGGATACAGTGATCACTGCTGCCCAGTGTCTATAGGGCTCCCAGTAGCATCTGCTTTGTACATTCTAGGATTGCTAATGACTCCTTCATTCCACATTTATAAATGTGACAGCAACTAGAATTCTGTCCTGCCATGTCGAATTTTAAGTGAGTTTTCAGTTCATAATGATCTCTAAGACTTCGACAACACTCAGGCTAGCCCGGGAATAAATGTATTGTTAGCACTGTGTTCACTGTCAAGTTGGGCTGTGGGTATGCTGGGCTGTATTCATTTAATTTTATGTTCTTTCTCTTTAGATTAAAATACGTAAAGGTCTCATTGCAATATTTGAGCAAGGTAAGACTGACACTCCAGCGGGTTTGCCCAGCCTTGCTCTTGGGGAGGGGTGTGTAAATTCACTAACAGGCCTCCTTCCACGGCTAACACCTTGCTGAAATACACTCTCGAGTTCCTGCTGCTCCCACCCTCCCTCCTGAGGGGCCCTGCCCACACTCCTGCCCCTGCATGTCTGTGCTACCCGGGGAAACCCAGCCTCGCCTTTCTTCTGCCCGGCTCACCCTGGGCGGAATCCGATACCAACACCTGCCGTCCTGGAAAATGTCTTTGTAGCTGCCCTTTTGTGTTCAGGGATGCGAGGAGCCCGTGGACCTAGAGCCTCCCCCTTTTTTGTTGCCCAAGACAGGAGGAGTGAGATCGTGAGAGGCGCCGATAAGACGTGGCACGTGCTGGGCCAGCCTTTGACCGCTTGCCTTAATGGGGCCTCCTGGCCTCAGCGTGAGAAGGGCGGGTTATCCAGGGGGCTGCTGAATGGAACAGCTGGGAAGGAAGAGCACACAAAAGCTTGGGGAGCACGGAGGGCAGAGAACCTGAGGGTCTCGAGGTTTAGGACCCAGAGGGCAGTCCAGCCATGGCAGGTGAGACCCTCGAGAGCCTCTGCTTTCTGCCCTGGTCTGGGATCCAGGCCCTTCCCTGTGTGCACTGATGGACAGCAGCCACATCCATGGATTCAGTGCTGGCCAAAAACTCTCCGGGGGTGGCCTGGGCTGTACCGACTCATGGGCTCACCAGTGGAAGGGAGGCCGGGTGATTGCTGATGAAGATATGGAGAGTGTCAGTGAGCAAGCTGTCATTTATTAACAGTATCACCCACAGTGGGATGCGTGGCACAGACACCAGGCACTGTACACGTGGAAGTGGGATGTTCAGATCTAGATTTTTTTGGTTTATTCGAAACAGCACCAGGCATGGGCTTGTACCTGCAGGCCAGACGAGCAGCCACGAGCACAGCGCGCTGCCCCTCCAACCCAGCTGCCCTTTCTTTTCCCCTCAGCTAAGCCTTGGCCAGTCCCATAACTCGCCCAAACCATGCTCACTCCCGTCAGCTCCCACAGGCAACAGGATCCCCAAAGCCTGGGTGCACATGCCGGTCTAGGCAGAGCAGGGAGGGCAGTGCAATCCCCTCCAGCGATGGAGACTTCATGCAAAAGTCTTGACTCGCTGGGACTGCTGGGACCATGTGAGTCTTCCTGCTCCGGCCACACAAGCGGTGAAGCGGGGCTCAGGTGTCCTTTGAGCAGACCCCCAGCCTCCAGCAGGAGGAAGAGGCCAAGCACATGGAATTGTCTTCTTTGTGGCCTGCCTGCTCATTCCGCAGCTGCTGCCTCCCCGTCAATCATGGGGTGCGGTGGGCACAGCGGGAGCCATCACAGGCTGACACGTGCCCGTGGAAAGTTGGGGACTAGAGGAATGCAGGGGCACTGCAGTACAGGCTCTGGCTTGAGGGTGTCCCGCGCTTTGCCCCTGGTGGTTGGGGCCGTTGCTTTCAGACACACAGAGGCTGCTGTGCCACAGAGCTCCATGCAGCTCGCCGGAGTTGGCATCTCTCTGTTCACCTGCTGCCCCACACAGCTGCAGGAATGGGAAGCGCACCCCCCCTGCGGCCCTCCTTGCCCCTGGGTGGATGGGGAGGGGCTAAATATTTTCCCTTTACTTAATATCCTGTCTTTGAGCATCGCTTTCTTTTATTCACTTGCTTTTTTTTTTTTCTGCTTGCTTCTCCAGTTGATCTGATTACAATAGTGGGTGGGTTGGTTCCTAGTTAATAATGTGATTTTAGGCAATTTGAAGTGAAGGTATTTCAAAATGGAGTATTATCTGGGATTAAATCAGGTTTGTCCCCCCCCCCCGGATTAAATGCTAGTGCCCAACACTGGCTACAAGGGGACAGAGAGATGCCTGTTACCAGTACCATCTCTGTCGTGGATGACAGCATAGCTGTGCTGCCTTCCTCAAAAGCAGCCTGTTTTTAAAGATGAAAATAGGAGAGAGGCCCAAGACGTTTCCTCTCTGTGCCCAGCCTCCCTGGGAGCAGAAGGGAGGAAAAAGACCCTGTGAGGGTGTCTTAAAGTGCTGAGTCTCAGGACACACTGGGAAGGTTGTCTCCTCAGATCCATGCATGTTTGCAAGTATTGGTTTCAGAGGCTTTTCCTAGAAACAATAAAATAAGATCATAAAATGAAAAAAGATGCTGTCTGTGAATAAGTTACCTTACATAAATTAATTTCAAATGCCAATAATAATAAAAATTTCAAAGGCCAAACCCCTGGAATTGAAGCCTGTTGAAAGGAGTATAGAAAGCTTGCTTTTGAGGTTTGTTCTGGAAGCCTGGGGTGTAATACAACAGGATTTAAAAATAGATTTTGAGGGGGAGAAGGGTGATGAAATGATCCTCTCACTCGCAGAACTGCCCAGGGGAGGCCAGACTCCTCCGGCAACAGAGACCGGGTATTGCAGCAGGCGTTCCTGTGTCCCTCTGAGCACGCTCCCGCACACTGGGGAAGGAGCCGTGCCGTCACGCAGGCTTCAGGTTTATTCCTTTTCCCTCCAGTGCTAAATGGCAGTATGCTCCTCTGGATTCATTCAGACAAGCAATTCAGTCCTGACCTCGCGTCTCAGGCCCTTTGGGGAATAATCAAGTAGTAACTGATGTAAAATATTAATAAATACATGTAAATAATAATGCTGACGGAGCCACAAAGCTGCACACGAAGTTTCATTTGCTTTATCATTGACTCTGGACAACGCTGCTTCCTTGGCTGCTCCTCCCTTTACTGTAATGAGATACCATTCTCTTCATTCTTTACTTACGGGTTGGCCAGTATGGCTGAGATAATTGCAGAAAGATTCATGGTTTTTTTTATGCTGCAGAAAAGTCCAGAGCAAAGACTGGGAGAACAGACATGCATTTGTTGATTCATTCAGCAAACATCCCCACGCTCACAGCACATGGAGGTCATCAAACCTCCCTCCTGGGAACGTGGTTCCATTTCTTCTGAGTGCCACAAACCCTCCTTATATCCGTGCCCAGGAAGGCCTCTCTTGGCGCCATGACTCGGCCTGTCTCTGTTTCCTTTGCAGGGCCCTGGCCGCCAGCCTGAGTGCCTACCTCATGGTGCCTTTTGGCAAGAGGAGACGGTTGAGACTCCCACAGTCCCCCCCCCCCACCTCGAACTTCCAAACCCAGAGACTTCGGAAACGTTGCTGCTCTGCTGTTGTCCTCAGCAAGTCTTCCTGTTTAACAGACTTCTGAAGTAAAGACAAATCCCACCGGAATGTTGCAAATTGGACTTTCAAACTAGGCGGTGTCGTCTTGCCCTGAAATCTCACAAACCTTGGGCTTCATAAGAAGAAAAGAAAATGTCAATGACCAGAGACAAACGCACTCTCACGTGAGCATTGGTTTGGCTGCTTCAGGCAGAGACAGCCAGAGACGATTACGGGCTTTCAGGGAAGGGGCGCAGAGTGGCTGGTTTCTGTACCCCAGATTGTTTCCTCTCATTGAGAAACCCAAGCATGATTCACAGAGGGGCCAGCAAAACAACTGTCAAATTGTTTGAGGAATTTTCTCTGCATTGATTTTGCTCATTCTTATTTTAGGATTTATGGTTTACTCAAAAATTTCATCATCATGGAAATTGGCTTTCCCTAGGGTCTTTTGCTCAAGAGAAGTTTTACCTCAGTTGCTGAGTGTTTTTCCACATGGTGCCTGATGCCGGCTATCTAGGGACAGGTTTTCCTGACTTTCTTGGAGATCCTTCAGGTCATGACAATGTTGCTTCTATCACAGGACACTCAGATGTTTCTAGAAATGCAGGGTCCTGTCCCTGTGAAAGCTGTTGAGGTCAGGAAGCTTCCAAGACCCCGCTCAGCACAGTGCCACATCAACACCAAGGCACATGCCAGCTCAGGTTCTAGACTGAGACAGGCACCCCTGCGATGTCCATCTGCCTCCACAAGCTTTGCCCTGCAATTGTGCTCTCCTGCCCGCTGCCCAGAGAGGACCATGGCAGGACCTTAGAAATAGTTCCCGTCACAGAGCTTTAGGGTGACAGACTCCAAGCAAGGATTCGATCGCACTGTTCACTCACTTGGCTCTGAGGGAGGCATGGTGAGCCTGTTTAAACAATGCTGGGGGAGTGGAGTGAAAAGCTCCACCTTCTGCCAGCACTTGCCCAGCACCCTTGCTGGGGGTCTGTGGGTGTCAGAGACAGAGAAGTCAATCTTTGGGGAAGACCCCGCCTTCTCACCTAGGCCCTGGGCCTGTCTCAGATCTGGAGCTTTGCCTCATCACCCACTGCAGTCTTTGTCTTACAAGGTCGTGTCACACCCACAGGTCCACAGTAAGCCCCTGGCTCAGAACCGGGTGTGTGTGTTGGGGGGTTGGGGGGGCGGGGCGTGTGGGGGGTGCTGAGGCCCCAGCCACGAGGAAGGTTGCCGTCAGCTCTGCACCTACCTGTGTTACCCTCAGCCTGCTTTGGTCGCCTTTCCAGTGAGCCCTCTGTCAGAGTGGTCGTTTCCACTGACCAGTCAGTTCTTTCTGTCAGCCATCAGGATGGTTTGTCTGGTACCTGACCTTTGAAGAGAAACGGGCAGACCCAGGAGCCAGACTCCCTTCTGAGACAAGTGAGAAAGGATTGAGAACGTCTTTCCTATTAGAAGAATGGACCTTCTAATTCTGGAGAGAACTGGTGATTTTGCTTTATAGGAGATTGCAGGGGGGGCCCAGGCCCACCAGTTGAGAAGCAGCTTGAGCACTCTGCATGTAAGACATGAGGGACGTTCCGAATTAGAAGACATAGCCGTAGTCATTTCAGGCTGTTCTGTAAATGGGGATTTGTTCACTCATTGGAGCTTAAATGGCAATATAAAGGGTGGCGGGAAGTCACAGCATCTTCTGTTCTATCAGCAAATGTTAGGAGTTTTGTTTCCCTTCCCCCACACACACTTTTTTAATGACTTGGGCTTTCTGGTCAGCACGGTTTGGCCCCGTCACTCAGACTCAAGACTGGTGCTGAGTTGCTTTTTCATATTTGCACAGTCCCCAGACCTCATCCTTGCAGGGAAAGGCATTGCATGTTCCTGGGCTCCAGATCCCATGGAGGCTCTGACGGGAAGTAGCTTCTAGGAGAACATTTCATCTTTAGACTCTAGAAACCCCCGATGCAGAACCCTTGGATTTAGTAGAAATGTCAGGACTTGGAAGTCGTAATGAACTCACTGGACTTCTGCTCCATGATTCCATTTTACCACCAAGAACCAGTCCTGACCCTGCAGTGAGAAATTCAGTTGGCAAGTAACTAGACCCTCCTGTCATCCCTAATGACTTAAACAACTCTGTGACCCCAGATTATAGCCAGCAATTTTGTGACTGGAGCTTTTCCCGAAACCACTATTCTCAGTATCAGCTTTGGTTTGGAAATTTGGAATGGGGTAATAGGGAATCTGGTAAACAGGTTGGCTTGGAATCACATGGGCTTGAATCATTTTTGTTATTTGGGGTGGAAAATTGAAACGATGGAGTCTTTTTTTTTTTTTTTGCTGTTCACGTAGAAAAGCAAATATTGTGCTTTTGTAATAAATGCCTTTCAGCAAAATTGCAGAGGGTCACTCATCCGGTGAGACCCACCTGAGTCACAGTGCTGACTCGTCACATTAGTAGGTCAGCTATCTGTAAACAAAAGTGGCCCTAATTGGCCCAAAATGGATAAGACTTGCTGGCTTCCAGGCAGGACCGGACCAGTTCCCTCACTTCTCTGCACGCTGATGTTCTGTAGTCTCACTGAATAGGTTTTTGTATTTAAAAAAAAATAGTAATGCCACAAAATTATGACTTTTAAAAAAATAGTAAAACCATAAGTAGAAGTAAATTTAGCTTGGGTGACTGTCAGTGTCTTCATGCAGTTAAGACTGCAGTTCCTAAGAGCTACAGGGAAGGGGCGGGGTTTAATCCTTGACGTTGTGAGAAGGACTGACTGATTGGACCCTTAGCCTTACAAACAAGGTCACATGGATCCACAGACAGTGCAAATCATGTCTTCCTGATCTTCCTCAGGTGCAACCACCTGCGCTTTAGTCTCTATTACATTTGTATCATCTGGACGTTTGAGGGGTCCTTTAAAACCTACTGTAATGTCTAACTTTGCTACCGTTATGTCTATTGAAGGGGAATGTCCGCTTCTTAAGGGAAATTCAACATAAACAACCATTGTTTTAGTTGCACTCAATATCTATGTATGATGTACACATTAAGTGAATGTTTTCAGGTCTACAATATTTAGCACATGTAAATAAGGTAAAAATTTGATAAATATGGTAAATTAAGTTACAATGTGTCATTTGATTTTTATTTTGCTATCTTTTATTTAATTTTTCTAATGCTCCACATCTGGGTTTAAGCCTAGGTGGCATAGACCTTTATGTATAACTCACCTTTGCAGGTATGTGTGTTGTGGCAGGACACACTCAGCGAAGACATGCCACGCCCGGAAAAGCACACAGTTCCACAGATGACCGCCACTTGGCTCTCCGGTTTACCCTCTTTTTCTCTTTAATTCTGACTTACTGTGATGATTTAATAAAGTAAAAACACAGCATTTATGTGCCGTATGTTTCTTTTGTTTTCATTACACTTTGTGGGAAAATAAAGTTGATCCTGGCATCTAAACAAAAAATAGTTTGCATTTTTACCAAAGTTGTTCAAAAGCTCTTTTATTAAACCAAAGCCTAAATATTTATCCAAAATGGTAGCCAGTACCAATCCAGGAAAGTTTACAAATGTGATTATGAAAAATTGACCTCTCAGTTCATAACATGAAATGCTAAGATCCACTCACACAAGGATTTGAGTCCAAGCATCATTGATCTCATGTATTTAGTCCATCTCCTCTTCATGATTAAACAACTGGGTTGAGATCTGCAGTTTGTATCAAGGCCCACAGTTTGTATCAAGGCTCCTGTCTTTTCAGGACAGCCCTCTGCACGAGCCACCCTTCCAGAGGTCTGGAGTCCCAGGTCCTGATGAGCAAGAGACCGACTTTGAGGGTTTGTCTTTTGTGAATAGTGATAGACAAGTTTGATAACAGCCTCCTTTTGGTGTGACTTAAGTCGTGTTTGATGGCCCAGCCTTTAAGACTTCAACCATCACATACTGACAGCCTGGCCAGATGGCCTCTGCCAGCATCCTGGACAACTCCTGCACTCTGGACAGCTGTGAGCTATCAGGACATTGGTCAGCTGAGCTCTCTAAAAATCATTCATTTGTCCATTTAACAAATATTTTGTTGAGTACCTATTACTTACGAGAAATTTTAGTGACCTCAAAAAGGGTCCGAGTGTCTTCTTGATTACCAAGTAGAGCCTGAATCAATTTGTTGTTTTCTTTTTTGGGTTTTTTGTTTTGTTTTGTTTTGTTTTTAGCTTTTGACTGGTAGCAAGAGCTTGCTTGAAGGTATGTTGTGCTTTTAATACTTGGTTCCTCGTAGAATGAAACTTGACAGAGCTTTAGAGTTTTGTTGCCGAGAAGCAGAGTTTCCCAGCCCTGCGGTGCACAGTCCTGCACCTTCCCCCACCTTGATTCTTGTCCACCGGGTCTAGGTAGAATCTCCGAATTGGTATTTTTTTAACACCGCCACCCCCCATGATTCTGACTTGCAGATAGATTTGGGTCGAGGGCTTGATCCAGCTCCATTGTGATATTTTGGGCAGCCCTGACTACTGTCCCATATGTGCACCCTGGAGTAGAAGGAACGTCAGTGAACACTCCCTGAGTAGCAGCTGGCTCGACTACAACTGCTCAGTGTAGTATCCTGCCCCTTCTAACGATTCTGCTTTATAGATGGGCCCGTATTCCCCCCAGGATAATGTATGGATTCTTTTTAGATCTGGAAATAGTCATTTGAATTTCAAAGGCTATTGTAATGAAAGTCTCATGAAGCAGTTTATTGTCTTATTTATAAGAAGAAAAAAAAAAAGATGGGCAGGGGGGTGTTCCAATCATCATACTTCTTGAAGTGATTCCAGTCATCTTTAAAAATATTCATCAAATCTTAGGCCAAATCATGCAAGACCTTGAGCAGAAGTCCAAAAAGAATCTAACTTCCAATTGTTCCAAAAGGACCATTGCTACAAACAATGCTCTCCTTGGCCTTTCTTGGCTTTTGCTAAGTGCCAGAATTTTTTAAAAAAACAAAAAACATTAGTACCCTGAAGGTACACTCCGGCCAGTGTAAAATTATCGGAGTACTCCAGCAAAAGGGCTGGAGTTTTTATGTTTGCTGCACTAGAGAGTATCTCTCAGCACTAAGACTCAGACCTTTATATTTGTTCACTTCTGTACCCATGTGAGCTAGTGTTACACTTTTGTGTGTGTGTGTGTATCAACTAAATTGAGGCCACTTTGATTTATTAAATAGTTTATGTCAAGAACAACCATTATCATTTGCTCTTCCTTCTATAAATGGAAATGATTTTAATTGCATTTCATTTTTCAAATCAAAAAGCTACGGTCATGGGCCAGCTGAGTGGCGCGTTGGTTAAGAGCTGGCTTGGGACGCCAGAGGATCCCGGTTCGGATCCCACATATGAGGGCCAGTGACACTGCCCTCTACAGCTAAGATGCTGAACAACAGCTCAACCTGGAGCTGGGCTGCCGGGAGTCGCCGGCGATGGCACAGGCTGCAGCCACTGCTGCAGTGGGTTGCCATGGGCTACTGTGTGTAGCCAGCAGCCACAGTGAGCGGCCATCCAGAAACCGGCAACTGATCTGCCTCGCCTGGGAAGAGTGCAATGATGGTGCCAACTTGGGCCAGTGAAGCAACGTCCTCCACAACTAGACTGAAGAACAAAAGGACAGCAACTTATCTGTTCCCCTTCCCTCAATTCCCCAATAAAAATTTTAAAAATAAATAAATAAAAAGCTACGGTCATGTACACTTCATCCCTGTGTATCTGGTTCACCCGAGGCACAAATCTCTACCCTCACTCCAGCCACCTCCTTGTATGGATACTGAAACCAAGGCTGTTGGCTCATTGGATTCACACAGCTAGAAAGTGAAGCTCCAGGCAGGAGCTGAGTTTTCTGGGCCCCACTTCTTGATGACACCCCGATTTAGCAGCAGTCACTGTTCTTAACCAGTGCACAGATGACTTGTTGAAATGTAGCTTCCGTGTTCCTTTTGGCCACTGTGACGTTTTCCCTAAGGCCAAGTCTGAAGCCACCCTGACACTCCTGTCATGGACCAGGCACAACACAGGCCAGGGGTTCCTGTGTTGGGGAACTTGTTTTATCGGATGACTCACCTACTCTCCCTATGACACTGGAAACCATTGGATAATACATCTCTGGAAATATAAATTGCTCATGTATTCAGACCTGAAAAATAGATTTTGAGGCAAAGAACCCAGAGCAGGAGCAGGCTGCACATGCTCTTGGTGCTGAGCATGGGCCAGCCTGCCACTGGCCTCCAGAAAGTCCCCCTTGCTCTCGGCATGCACCAATCCTCAAGGTAATTTAGCACTTGCTGCAGTTCAGCCAAAATTTTCTGTTCTTTGTCTCCTAAAAAAGTTTTATGTTTCAGGAGCTTAAGAGAAAGAAGGTAAAGACATATCGATGCCCTTACATGCCCCATGACCCACGCTTGAGTGAAGTAGAAAGAGACTTGCTGCCAAAACCGAGGTCACAGACTATTAACATGCTGCTACTGCAGCTTAAACCACATCTTCACCCTCAGATAACATAAAAAACCAGCTGACAATCCAGGGACTCAGGAGCATTTAAAATAATAGTAATACCTTCTCTGCCCCAAATACACTCTCAAACGTGCCCTTCCAAATGATCAACAGCAACAAAACCAGCAGGAACTCTGAAATGATACTCTTTTTCTGGGTAATAGAAAAGTATTTGCTGGAATTAGAGATTGCTTCTTTTTGTTGTTATAATTTTAAATTAAAAATACTTTTAATACCTAGTGTTTACTATCCTAAGTTAAATTGGATAAGGTGAAGGGGATGAGAATTTACAAAAAGCCATCATGTTAAGAAATATTTGAAAGATTCTGCCTCTTGCAGAACAAAGGAAAAATTGGGAAGTTCCTGTTAGCACCTCCCTTTTGTACCATGTCAGACATGAAAAGCACTGATTAGATTTTTTGATATTCACATCAACATATTCCTGCCTCAGGTATCAGAGGACATTGTGTATGTGATTGAAAATTCTATTTAAAACATTATTTTAGAAAATAAAGAATAAATGAATAATCTCTCAGTATAAGAGTACCTTCTCCTATGTGTTCAGGTGTCATTTTTAATTCTCCACTTTTATGTCCCACCTCTCCCGCTAACAAAATGCTTGTTGAGTTTGACAGAGAAATTTTATGTAAAGAGGTCACACTCATCAGCTTCCGCCTTGACTTGGGTCATGGGGGTCTGAAAAGTGGAGTGTGCCTCTCACTGAGGGTATGAAGTGGGTAGGGGCTTGCTATTATACCTCCTGAAAGGATCTTTTTGACTTCAGAAAATAGCCTGGCAAAGAAAAGCTTTTTTCCATGAATACTCGGCCTGCATTATGCTCCTCAGATGGTAGAGGTGAGTACTTTTGATCAATATCCCCTAAGAAATGGCTGCTGGGCTAAGTGCAAGGGAGGGCCTCTATAACAGATCTCCCTCCCCCAAACCTGCAGAGCATTTGCAGGAAATCTCTTGTGAACCATTTGAACCAGTGAGGCTGCACATTAATGGCATCATCTTCTCCTCCCTTTAAAACATGTCACCCCATTTTGTCCTCCATGTTGATGGCTGATTATGGACCCACTAGAAACACTTATTTCTGTAGCCTTCAT